AAAAAAAAAAAAAAAAAAATACCTGTACGTTCTCATTTTTGTATCAATTGAAGTAAAAAGTTGTATTGGGATGAATAATAACAATACACAGTGTCTGCTTCATCCACAGGAATGGAGTCCCCGGTAACGACGACAGGCCTGAGCTTCCTGCCACCTTACGCCCTCTTTTTTCTTATCGCGTGCGCCACCGGAATTATATACGGCTATTCAGCTGATTTTAGATTCATCCTCGTTGATGCATTGTTTGAAAAGTGCCCCAGTAGGTATGCAATACACCCTATTGCCATTCGCGCGTGTCGATAATTGTCGTTTGTTCAAACGCGGACGTGACGCGTAAATGCGGTGGCAAAAGCCAACTTTTTAGGTGACGCTACAAAGATAATATATATATTGTACAGAGGTATCAGAAACGTGTAATTATCAAATTGACAGTTCTCGCGTATACGTGGGTACTCTTGGTGATAATGTTACTTTTGACGGACTAATCGATTTTTCCTTGTCATCCGCGTAAAAAAAGCCAACATTTCTTATTGATTTTCCACACAATGCACGCGCAAGAAACTAGTCTCTCGTGGCAAACTGCGACGGATGGTACAAAAAAAGAGCCTCCAAGTTGAAAGCCACATAAATACATTCCGCTGCGAAATTTAATTCAAGCAAATTTTTATGTGCGCGCGAGTAACGGACAGCTGTCGCTCAATTAAAACGCTTAAAAGGTATATGTATATTGAAGGAGAAAGAGTTTAGGGGTGAGTTTCAAACAATCAACGCCCAATTTATCAATAGTCGCGCATAATTAGTACGCGCACATACGATTTATTTGCGTCCACTTAGTTCCACGCGTCGCGCAAACGTACGGATGAATAAAACGCTTGTCACTTGGGTCTGTGACTCTCGTTAATGTATTACACACACATATATATATATATTTCCTCAAGCTCTCGCGCATCGCTCGTACACACGAAAAAAGCATATTATGGCTCTATGGGGGTATATATATACATGTACATAGGTATACACGATGGTGTACACGCAGCATCAGAACACCTTCGCGCTTGCGCTGCGGCCGGAAATCGGAAAAAGGGCGAGACGGAGATCCGCGCTCGCGTGCACCGCATAGGCCGCCCCGTGGAGCCCTAGCTGCGCGTCCGCGCCCCTCTCGCGTTCTCGCGCAAATCTCCACCCTCTTTTCCTCCCTGTACGAGCAACGGTATAACAACGACAATGTAATATAGTGATACCAACGGTACATCCATACATGCGCGCTTGTGTTACGTCACTCTGCCGTTACAATATACGTGTAGGTACATTATGTATAGCCCTATATACCCGTGTCACCCACGTGAAACACGATGCGATGCACGGGCAGTGTAGATACATGCGTGTTTTTGTGTACATAAAAAGCGCGTGCTTCTCCATGCCATTTTGGAGCCGCAAGGTATCAAATCCACGGCTATTGACTCCCTCCCTCCCTTCCTTTAGATGGACGGATTCTCACCCTCCTGGGTGCAGTTCACGTTTGTGTCTCGTTTTTTTTTTCTTTTTTTTTTGTTTCTTTGTTTTTTGTCGTGTTTCACCGGTGACCGTGGCTCCACAGATTAGTCGAACAAATCGGGGTTGAAGCCACACACACACGATCTCACGCTAGCTGCGTCGGTTTGTAAAAATCGAGGAAGGCACCGATAAAATGGGATTTTGGCTTTTTTTGTTGGATTAAATACATTTCTCTGCTTCTCTAAATTTCTTTTTTCGGGTGGTCGATGAGACTTGAAAGCTAAATAAAGTTTTTTCAGAGTTTTTCAACTATACCGTGAAGAATAAACCAAATATGCACGAAACCATCAGAGAAAAAGCGTACATCTTCAGTTTCAGTTTGACGCCCTTCCCAGCGGTGCCCTCATTTTTTTCAATACACGGTTTGCTTCTCGCGTCATTGAGTCATTTCCTTATGGTATTTTTTTTCTTCAAGTAAAAGAAGAACGGAAATATCTGCAATATCGAGTATCGCGTGGAGGAAGTTCAATCACGGTATAGTATTGGCGGGCAACAACAAAAAAAAAAAAAAAAAAAAAAAAAAAAAAAAAAAAAAAAAAAAAAAAAAAANTTTTTTTTTTTTTTTTTTTTTTTTTTTTTTTTTTTTTTTTTTTTCTATAAAGTTATACACCAGCCATCCCGATTATTTTACAACCGCACGATGCTTCTCGCAGCGCGCGTTTGATTTCTTTCGATGAATCGACGTCGCCGGCCTTTACTGTTAATTGAATTTCTTCGAGGTGTAATACGGAGCCGCGTAGGTCGTAGATAGCTTGGGTACTTATATGTAAAAAAGTTGCAGCGCATGGCAATCGAATAGTTAATTAATAACTTTACGATTTGTTTTTTCTTTTTTTTTTTTCCAATCCCATCGTAGTTGTAGTCGAGCAGTGCCTATATACAGAACGAAAACGGAGCGCGGCGATAAATTTCCAGATTAAAAATGATTATTCTTGATTTTTCCTTGAAACGCTCGGGTTTAATGGGCATTTAAAACTCTTTGTATTATAGTCATCTTCATAAATCATATCCGTACTTCGATTCAAGTCCGCACACGAGAAGGAGGGAAAGAAACACGCACAGTTTTTTTTCTTCTTCTTCCTTTCATTCTTTCGATACATAAAAAGTTACAGAGCGAAAGTTCCATTCCACGCGAGTCCAATGTATATATACCGCATTAACGAAATGAGCAACACGCAAGAGATTAGTCCTCGTTTAAAGGCATAAAACTCGGGTGTATTTCTTCTCTCTCTCTCTCTCTCTTGTCGTCTGGGCGTGTCGTATCCAGCGCACGCATAAAACTGATTTTGAGCCATAAAATGTACGTACACTCACGTATATATACATAGGTGGGTACGTACACATTTTCCCTTTCTTTGTGCTTCGGTAAGAACCACGAAGCAACCATCTCGAGCTTCCCAACTTTCGTGCAATCATCCCCGTTTATATTGTCGTATAGAAAATTTACGATACGCAAAGGCCGCGTCATACGGAAACTCGGGTAGGTGGGTTGATATGAAATTTTTTTTCCCCCCCAAATCCTTTGTACGAGAACTGGTGCGTTAGAAATCAAAACCGCGACGCGATATTCAGAGATTATATATACATGGGCTAACGTTCCGTAACCGACGCGGGACACGTCACAGATGTCATACAAGCGAACGCGATTTTCTCCGCAAGTAAGTAAGTGCATTTCGCGCCAACGACGACGTGAACTTGCATATATCTATACCTACACCGGTCGTAGTGTAATTCCGCGAGTAGGTATCCGTAGTAATACAGTTTAAGAGCAGTTTGTCCCACCCAGTGCGCTTCTCTTTCCGGCTGTCTTGCTCCATTCGCGTGCAATGGCACGTTACGTATATGCGTGGGGGGTGGAACGAGTTGTCAGTTTTGAAAGAATCGTTTATTGTACAGTATTTTCATTCTTTTTCGGTAGGAATTTGTCAAACATACGAAACAAGTAAAATCAAGTGCATCTATACTTGAGGAGAGCTTGCAAGTACCGAAGACCCGTTGAGCTAAAATAGACCCTGTATTGTCTATCCAATGCGTATCTATCCCTTGCCGAGTTTTACTTAGAAACTATATGTGTCGTGAATTTCGTTTTCCTTTTGATGTTTGTTGAAAGTTTTACTGGCGAGATAAGGTATTGTTCTTTTAATCTTTTTTTTTTACAAAAATTGAATCAAAATACTTTTTCCATCGATTACAGTTCCGCTCCAATAAATAAAAGAATTGTCTATAAAACGCCTTCACTACGAGCTTTTGGATGAAAGTTAGACCTAGGGCCGATCGATTGATTCAAATGTAACGAAAATTGATAGAATATACTCTAATCTAAGGTTTACTCAAAATTTCTAAAAAAAAAAAAAAAAAAAAAAAAAAAAAAAGAGTACAAACACGGGCACGCAAGGCAAATTGGACAAGAGAGGAGTCGCGCCAAAGGCAAGGAAGTTGTCTTCCACAATGGCCAACCGCAGGATACACACGGCCAAAGTAGAATCGGTCCGCCATTGAGTAGTATCGGCTCCTTGTGACGCTTCGCTCTTTATTTCTTTGTATATTTTTATTCCTCTACGCTATAATACCCACAGGTGTATATTGTACTCGTAACGCGGGAAACAACGTGTTGGGTTACATTTGACCATTCGGTTAGAATACACGTGATGGGGTGAAATATGAAAATCCACAGAGTAATGCTGCTTTGCCATCACACGATTGTTGGGGATGAATCGAAAACTGTTGTCTGTACACGTCGCTCAGGTAAAACAAATGAAAATAATCGTGCCACGTACAACACTTGTCTTCAATGATACAACCCTCCAATCACCTTTACCATTTACAAGAGCTTTGGATGAGCTATGCATGAAAAAATGACCCCTTTGACTCGTAGCGAACAACGAAATCCAAGAAACGACGCTCTACAAGATACTGAAGGCAGGAATCTCGTACTACTACACGAACGGGCCACCAGTCGGCCACGCAGTCGACAACCTGGGCAAGCCGACCTACTTTGGCCGGGTCCCGTACTTCGGTGCCGGCGACTCGGACCTATTTCACAACCCCGAGTTATCAGCGAAGCCCCTCGACTCCTCGGACAGTCCGCCGAAACGGCCGTCCTCCGATCCCGGTAAGCCGATGGACCAGAAGGACTCGACACGCGATCCTTTGTTTTTCTCACCCTACTCATGCACACGCGTTGTCCTCGCTCGGCAGGTGTGATATCTCCAGCCGCCCCGGCCAGCCTGGGCTTCTTCCCGTACGCGCTGGGCACCCCCGTGATGAGCGCCAAGGTGCCCACGAGTCCGGCCAATCCCCTCCAAAAGTCCTCCTCGTATCCAGGTAAGTTGGACAAAAGTGGTGGAGATGACGTGTCACGCTGTGCGGCGACGGGCACGTACCGACCTTATCGAAGATGACATTCGTTGCGCAGGAATGGCGTCCCCACCGACAACGGCCGGCTTGGGTATATTCCCGTACTCGCTGGGGACCTACGTCACGGCTGCCAAAGTGCCCGCGAGGCCGTCCAGTCCTCGGGAGCGGCCGTCCTCGTATCCCGGTAAGTTACGACGAGCGACGGTACACGTGCTCCAGTGCTCGTGGACGTTGGCATCATTTTTATCTATACGTTTGGCGCAGGTATGGCGTCACCTCCGGCAACCACGGCTGGCCTAGGCATCTTCCCGTATCCTCTGGCAAGCTATGCAGCGACGGCCAAGGCACCGCAACCACCCACTAGTCCGTCCAGTCCTCGCGAGAGGCCAGTTCCTCCGTACCTTGGTAAGTCGGTGTTGGATGTACTGCCTACATATTATAATGATTTTACGTTTGGGTATAATGGCGAGAGAGTATTTTCTTGTTTGTTATTGGATTCTGTCGATTATGAGGCATTGGTTTGTAGCTTTTGGGTAAACAAAAAGAATAAAAAGTTGGAGTAGAACAACATCTGTGTGGCCAATGGTATTTTATCAGGAGATTACCATAGAGAAAAGTCCAATCTATATCTTGAAAAAAATTTTTGTTCCAATCCAAAGGAATTTTTATAAAATATTTAACTTTTCATTTATGTCAACACTACTTATTCGCAGCATTTGCTAATCATAGCGAACAAGGTACCTTATTCGAACCCCCTTCCGTTGCTCTCGGTGGCAGATCGTCTTGTTACCACTACGCCACGCAAGTAACGTACCTCGAGGTATCTGTTATCACATCACATATCTGAAATACATATGAAAATATTAATTTGAAAAAAAAAAAATAAAAACGTTTACTCGTGAAACCGAAGCCTTTAATGCCCAAGAAAAGTATGTGCAGTGTGGGATAAATAAAACAATTCCATGTATTATGAAAAAAAAAAAAAAAAAAA